AAAAAAAAAAAATTAAAAAAAAAAAAAAAAAAAAAAAAAAAAATGAATCAAAAAAAAATTAAAATTTTTTTGTGGTGTGTAACATTATATTTTGAATTTCAGAATTTCAAAAGAGAAAACTATTTTAAATATTAAAAAAATTTATATTTTTTTTGTAAGAATAATTAATCATCTTTTTTTAAGAAAAAAAAAAAATCTTTATTATTTAAATATAGGATTACGCATATTTAACAATGATTGCTCATATGTTTTGATATCTAAATTTCTACAATAAGATTTCTCATTTGAATTAGTAAATGGAATATTACTTTTATTATATTCCAAATCATGTACCTCATCAATATCTACTTCTGCACAATTTTTATCTTTGCAACATTTACTATATGCATTACATTTTTTCTTCATTATATTAAAACAATTAACAGATAAGAGAGATTTATCTTCTTTTAATTCATAAAATGTAATAAAGCTTTTACATGTTATTTTTTCATATATTTTTATAATAATATGCTTAATTAGAATGAACATCATTCGTATACAATTAAATGCATCATTTATAGTAAAGATAATGTTTTGAAAGGCATAGAATAACATAAGTAAATGAATATGTAAATTATTATATACATAATGATAACAGAAAAAATTAAAACTATTTTCATATATATCCTTATGTATATATATATTATAATAAATAGATAAAATATATATTCCCATAAATAAAACATAATGAGCAAAAAAATAACAAAAAATTTTATATAAAATGCCATACATAGTTAAAATTACGCTAAATTTATTGTTGTCTTTTATGAAAATTTTTAAAATAAATAAAGAAAATACAATTATTGATATTACTAGTAATTCTCCAAAAAAAGAATATATAGCATATTTATATATTTTATTCATTATTGAATATATAAAGTTCATAATATTTTCATCATCAATTAAGTTAACAATATCTATTTCTTTAACTAAATTATTTATATCATTTTCATTTATATGCATATAATTATCTGCATTTGTTACAGCATTATTAGTTTTATTAAAATTTGTTTCTTTAATTATATATATATTATTATCTTTTTTTTCATTATTAATATTATTATTTATATGATCTATTTCTTTATTATTCCTAAAAAGGATGTTTAAAAAGGTGTTTCTATTTTTATTTATTTCATTTTCATTTATTGATAGATTAGAGTTTAAATTCATGTCCATCATATGTTTATTGTTATCTTTCTTTAGTTCCATACTATTTCTAATAATATCTTTTAATTTTTCGTGTTCTCTTGTATATTTATTTGAAAATTTTATCTCTAGTTGATTATTTGTATGAGGGAAATGAACTATAAGATAAATTCCTATTATTATATTAATGAATAAAGATATTAATCTTAAATATAATGCAAATTTTTCTTTGTTTTTTCTATTATCTTTATAAATCATTTCAGATGTGTAATAGTATGCGTCATTATAATAAGACATTTGTTTTGACAAATGTTTTTCATTTTTAAAAATGTTTTCCTCTTCATTTATATTATCTATAGATAACATAAAATATTTGGATAATTTTTTCATTTTTTTTTTTATATTACTGTTATTATAAAATTCATCACTATCCTCACTTTCATATATATAATTTTTTTTTTTCTCCTTTTTTTTTTTTTTTTTTTCTTATTTTT